GTAGCTGCAAATGAGGTCCACAGGGACACTGCTTGAAGAAGCAGGAAGTCACCTCTTTATCTGAACAAACGTATGGAAGCAAATACGTTCATGCCGTTCCCCACCTAATGCATTTTTTAAAATGAGAACAGATCAATGAATAGAGCAATTAAAGAGCTCGGCTCAATCCCAAGATCTGTTGAGTTCAGGTACATAGCATTTCGTCTACAACGGTCCATGGTCAGTTGCTTGGAGTACTTCGAAGTGGTCTACTGAGGTACCAGATTATGGAGTGGGAAATCAGTGTAAAAAGTGTTCAATACAATCAGGAATGTTTTCCTGCTCCTCGTGGCTCCCATGTGTGGATGTGTGTGGATGTGTTTGTGTGTGTATTCATGTGTTTGTGAGTGTGTTTTTGTGTGTGTGTGTTGTATGCATGTTTGTGTATCGTGAAATGAGGTCAAGTACAGTTCTGTATTGGTGGGCAAGCAGACCCCATTATCAGTTGGATGGGCCCACACCACAGTATGTTGGCCAGACAAATGTGGAGAAACTAACACCATTAATTAGACGTTTTTTGTTTCCGGTCCTGCTTAGCAAACCACCAGCAATACATCTCAGCAAATGTTTTTCTCCCTGATCACTTGTATGGTACACCCATGCTCCGTTTTTGCTCCGGCCGCCCCCCCACTTCTTTTCCTTATCTACATGCTCTGTCTCAGTTGTATGATCCGAAGACATGAGATCAACTTCAACATGTATGTGCTTGACACCCACATCTACTTCTCCACCTCCATCTGGGAATCCCATTCAACTGATGGTCTGTCAGACCGTCTGACAGATATCAAGGCCTGGATGAGTGCAGCTGAATGTCGGCTCGACGTAAGCCATAGTCTTTGGATCCTGTCTCTGTGGAAACAGAGTGACCTGGGTGTTCACATACTCAAATCTTTGGAGGTCATTGGATAAGTTGACAAAGCTGTTATAGAAGCATTTGAAAACCTTGGCTATAGAAATAGAGGCACAAAGTATAAGAACAAGGGAAGGTCATTGGATAAGTTGACAAAGCTGGATATTAGATATCAAAATGGAATTGGATAAAAACTTGAAAAGGTAAAAATTGCAGTGCAATGGGATGAGAGAGCGGCATTGGGACACTTTGATTCACTGTTTCAAAAGAATGCATATGCATGATGTGCCGAATGACATTCTTCTGTACTGTAAGACTCAATGAAAGTGCCAAACAAGTCTAAACTGTTTTTGTAACCTCCCCTCGGAACTCAGGTGCTCAAAACCAGCTATCAATTTAATTGTCTTTACCTATTCTTTCCCAATATAGAGAAGTGTTACTGCAGCAAGGAATCCAATAGTTTATAGTGTCTTTTATTGTATGATTGTATCTGTTGTCAGTCCAATAAGACTGTTGCCCATGTTGTCCGACATCCATAATTATAAGACAATAAGATGTTTCATTCAGCCCCTGGAGCCCACTGCTCCATTTAATAAGATGATGGCTGATCTTCTAACCTAATTCCATTGACCCAAACTATCCCCATATCCCTTAATCCCTCTCTCCTTTAGACATCTATCAACCTCAGCCTTGAATACGTTCAAGGATTGAGAATCCACAGCCTTCTGGGGTAGAGAATTACACAAATTCACTGCCATCTGAGAAGAAATGTTTTGTCATCTCAGTTTGAAAATGCTGACCCTTGATCTTGAGACTATGTCCCCCAGTTTTAGATTCTCCAACCAGCGGAAACAGTCTCACAACATCTACCTTGTCAAGAACCTTCAGAATCGTATAGGTTTCTAGAAGATTACCTCTAATTCTTCGGTATCTGGAGAACATAGGCCGAGTGGAGTGAAAGATCTTTGCAAACAACCCAACATTATTATGGACAAATGACTGTTGCTGAAGCCAAAAAGCTATCTCGTCTCCTTCAAGACTGGTCCTCTATTCATAGTAAGGTCTCGTCACAAACTGCACATCAGGGAATGAAGAATTGTGCTGAGAAGAACCAGGAAATGACCCTCCAGGGCAGTGAGTGTGTGGAAGAACAAAGAGACAGTTTCTGTTGGCAAATCATGACGGAATTAGTTATTGAATTGGCTAACATTTAATTTGGGTATGAGGGGTCACATTCGTGTGCTCTCGTTGAATTTGAACTACATCTGACGTGATATGCTTGACAATGGAATATCAAATTCTAAATAATATTCTGTTGTTTCACCTAAAAACCGCACATGTATCCCAGACCATTTATAAGACTCTTTTGGTTCCAGTCTTACTTAACAATCACCAATAAAACATTTTGGCAAATATTTTTTCATACCGCCCCCACCAGTTCACTTATGGTGTAACCCGAGTCTTTATCCTTGTCCAACTTTTCCTGAACGACATGCTCTGCCTTGCTGATGTTATCCACAGACATGAGGTCAACTTTCACATGTATGTGCATGACGCCCATATCTAATTTTCTCCTCGATCTGCGACACCAAGTGCACTGAACTTCTGTCAGCCTTTTTTCTGTCATCCTTTTTGATGGACATCAAGGTGTGGATGAGTGGAAATTTCCTGAATCTGAATGTTGGCAAGGCAGAAGCCGTATTCTGTCAAAATCTTGTCTCCTGTGGAAACAGAGAGATCTGGGGGTTCAATTACACATATCTTGAAATTGATAGGATAAGTTTACAAAGTTGTTAAAGAAACTTTTGAAATCATTGGCTTTATAAATAGAGGCAGAGTGTATAAAAGCAAGGACGTTATGTTGCCTCTTTACAAATTGCTGGTTAGGTCTTATAGGGAGTATTGTGTCCAATTCTGCGCATCACACTTCCGGAAGAATGTCTCAAATTTGCTGGGGCAGATTCTGCTGGCGGGCGGGTCTGTCATCAGAAGACACAGTTTCTGGCTATTTACTCTATCAAAACCCTTTATAATTTTGAACACCTCTATTGAAAATTCCCTTAACTTTCTCTGCTCCGAGGAGAACAATCTCAGACTCTCCAGTATCTCTACTCAATTGAATTCCTTCATCCCTGGTATCATTCTGGTAAATCTCTGCACTCTCACCAAGACTGTGGCATCATTCCTAAATTTGCAAACTAACCAGAAGGGAGATAAGGAGAACATTTTTTACCCAGAGAGTTATTATGATGTGGAATATATGGCTTGAACGGTTGGTGGAAGCAGATTGTACAGTAAATAACAAAAAGGTATTAGAAAATGACTTGAAAAAAAAAAATTGCAGGTCTATGGATTAAGAGTGGGGTAGTGGCACTCTGGCATCATTCACACATATACGCACATCAGCGTATTCAAGGAAACCCAAACTATTTACTTACAGCTGAGGGAAATTGAATTAAGACAGACAGAGGTAACAGAATATACAGAGACAAATATTATAAACTACAGTATAGGAGCCATAGACATGACATTCACAATTGATATTCAAAATGCTGATTGAAGAGAATTCTTGAAGACTGAACATCCATTGCACAACACGCGGGGGCTTGTGTGAGGGTGTGAGTG